TGAGTCAGAAAACTGAGAGGAGGACAAATCCTTCAGATGAGTAATTTTACTCTCCACGTTATTAATGATGGAATCATGATAATAAATCTGTCACTAACATCAGGTTCAGCTCTGAGTTTGTCTGCAGCATTTTAAACTCGTCCTTGTCTCAGTGATTCTTCTCTGCTCTGCTTTCACTGCTTCCCTGTGGACAAACAGATAAAGTGCACAACAGTAAGTGGCTCTCCTTGTTAGTGTGTGTGTGTGTGTGTGTGTTTGTGTGTGTGTGTGTGTGTGTGTGTGAGACGACCACTTCCGACGCTTCATTAAAACAAACCTGTCAATCCAGACGATGGCGTCCGTCAGTCCAGTCCTTCTGTTGCTGCTTCACTACTGACGCTCGTCCTCCGTCCCTGCAGACACACTCACGTCACACAGAGGACAACGTTCAACAATAGTTTCAGCTCATGTGTCAAACACGTGTGTGTTAGATTTTTAATAACGGAGAAACAGACTCACTGCAAATTAAATATAAGCAGAAAAGAAACTAGATGGTTTTTATTGGTTCTTCCAGAAAGAATGTCAGAGATGCATCAGGACCAAATGAGTATTTACCTTCTCCTCCAGAACTGTACAGTTCAACGTCAAAAGATCAAATATTACATTTCTGTCACGTGTCCAAGTTGTAAAAGTTTTAAACAAGGTTGTTCATGTCAACATCAAAGTGTCGATGAAGCTCTGACTGGAGCTCTGTGGGGACACGTCACACTGGGACACTGAAGATCAGTGACCCAAGGTTCCACCCGACCGCTGGGACAAACCCTGGTGATCTCCCGCCCCCACGACTGCCATGTCCTGTTAACGGGCGTACCGGCTTGTGTGGTGAAACCTCTTCAGATGTTCAACCAACCAAAGAGGACAAAGTTACCACACTGCTTGTTGAGCTTCACCTGCTGCCTGCACCTGCTCGCATCAAGTTCAAGTCACATGCTTACCTACAGAACGATTGCTGGGACTGCTCCCACATTCCTCACTGCTCTGATAAGGACGTATGTCGACGTATGTTACGTCCCCCCCCCCCCGTACGTTGTGTTCGTCAAATGAGTCTGGCTCTTCCGTCTGTACAGCCTCGGCAATCCAGACTATTCTCCTTCGTACTTCCACGTTCCACAGCTGCCAAACAGCACCAGAGCAGGGACGTCCCTCTCTGTCTTCAAGAAGCTACTGAAGACCGAACGCTTCAGAGAACACCTTCTCCCCTCTTCCTCTTTCTACCACTCTTCTGCTTTCTAACTGGTCTCTCCTTTCATTTCCCCTTCCGCCCTCTCCTGCGAATGATTTCTGAATCTCTGCCCTGACACGTAGAGTTTATTGTTACACCAAGATCCTTGTAGCTTGAATGATTTGTCTCCTTGTAAGTCGCTTTGGATAAAAGCTTCTGCTAAACGACTAAATAACAATAAAAAAAGACCAACAGAAGTCAGACGTCCTAATAACAACAATGTTTGTGCTTGTGTTTATCTGTACTCATTGATAATTACTGTGTGTGTGTGTGTGTGTGTTAGTGTCACAGCCTCCAGTGTTGATAGAGATGCCGTCATCGTACACAGCGTTTTCCCTAGAGGACATCAATCTGCCCTGTGAGGCCTCCGGTCTCCCAGCACCCACGTACGTATGACAGCAACACCTGTGTGTGTGTGTGTGTGTGTGTGTGTGTGTGTGTGTGTGTGTGTGAATATAATTGACACACAGGACATGTGTCAGGCTGTTTGTCCGTTCCCTCCCTCTGGTCTTTCTGTTGGCATGGCAATAAATGTCCCTTAATAAAATCATCTCTCTTCTTTTTCCATTTCCCTGGGTCTGTTTTTTCCCTCCCACTCCTCCCTCCTGCTCCTCTCCTCCCTCCTGCTCCTCTCCTCCCTCCATCCTCTCCCTTCTTCTCATTCGAGGATGAAGCTGTTGATGTTTGTTATCGAGTAAAAAGACTAAAACCATCAACCATCCTAACATACACCCACATTTTCTGACCTCCCGACTCTGGCTCTCAGCTTCAGCTTCATTGGTTCCCACTGACGATGTCAACGTCTCAAATACATATAAATATTCTGCTGATCTTTAAAGTCATTTAGTTTTGACCTCTTTAAAAACATTAACTTCTTCAGTAGAAAACTGAAAAACATCACATCACCAGTTTTTAAAACAATGAGTGTGGTTCCTTGTTTTGAGCCACGAACATTAAGAAATGTCGGTTTTCTCTGAATTAACACTTTCACACTTTCTGCTCTCTCCAGTTTCCGGTGGGTGAAAGACGGTGAGGAGTTTGGTTTGGAGCAAAGAGGATCGGGGACGCTGTGGGCCGAGAGGGACACGGACCTCAGCTTCTACAAAGGTTTCTACCGCTGCTACGCTTCCAACACGCTGGGGACGGCTGTGACACAAACTGTCCAAGTCATCGTGGAGCGTGAGTATCACACACACACACACACACACACACACACACACACACACACACACACACACA